TATATATATATATATATATATATATATATATATATAAAATATATGAAAAATCGATGTGGGTACTTAAATGAAAGGTCTCGATGAGTATAACATCAGGATGAGCTTATATCTTTAAAAATGTCAACTGTTCACAAGATACAAGCCAATTTCTTAATTGTCGATCTCGAAATAGAGCATTTTCGAATGCTCACAAAATTTTTCTTATTCTTCTAATAATATAAATAACTTACAATTTTTTCACTCGCAAGAGCTTGCGCCTCCATGAAAAGTTTCAAATCATAGTCAGAAGTTAGCCCAGCTAACCGTGGCTCGCGATCTTTCTCGATACTCAATCGGCCACCAACTTTGTCACCATCATTGGAAACAATATCAGTCGGACGTTTCCATTTGCTGCGTAATTCTTTAACTTTAAGCTGGTAATTACGTTGCTCAGTAGTCTGATGAACGCCTTTGGGTGATTTTTTTCCAATATTCACCAGCGCTTTTTTACGTTCTTCTTCTCGTTTTTTTCGCTCTTTATAAAATTCTCTGTAATTTCATTTATAATTGAATAAAAATATTCTAATAGGTAATTAACAAATTAAAGTTGTAATTAGAGTTAAAATAAAATAAAACTTACACACAAGCTTGCGGTGTGGTGTTGTGATACAAAGGACAAGCTTCTAATGTAAAATGAGTGTCAAATTTCCCAGAAAGATGTCCTTTGGAATCACATGACGCCGCTAAAGGACACTCACGTTCCTTGACACTACGAGATCTTGATACTGAATTTGAACCACCTCGTCCACTTGTACTACTACCTCCGCTTGCAGATCCTTGGTTTACCCTTGATAATGTTGAAGATTGTCTTGCAGGTGCCCGTTTTACTGGAGATTTACTGAGACTTCTTTTTATTTCAACACCTAAAGAATTATTAATTTTAATAATGATAAAAGAAATACTTTTTAGATAAATTTTAAAAATAACAGTGCTGTCACAGGATAAATCATCAATTTATCATTTATGGAATTATTTCATTATTTCTTTCTCTGGACTTTTATATTAGAGGTGATTCAGAAATGCTCTATTTCTAGATACATAATTAAGAAATTACCTTATATCTTGTGAGTTATTGACATTTTTAAAGAAATAAGATCAGTCCGATGTTACACTCATCGAGACCTTTCAATTGAGTACCCACATCAATTTTTCATATATTTATATATTCCACAAATACCATATATATGAAATATATGAAAAATGCCATGTGAGTACTCAAATGAAAGGTCTCGATGAGTGCAACATCAAGATGAGCTTATATCTTTAAAAATGTCAATAATTAAGAAATGACCTTGTATTTTATAAACTAATGACATTTTAAAAGATATAAGCTCATTCCAAAGTGACATTCATCAAGACCTTTCATTTGAGTACCCACATCAATTTTTCATATATTTTATATATTTATATATTCCACAAATACCATATATATGAAATATATAAAAAATGCTATGTCGGTACTCAAATGAAAGGTCTCGATGTGTATAACATCGAAATGAGTTTATATTTTAAAAAATGTCAATAATGAAGAAATTACAGTGTACCTTGTCAACTAACGACATTTTTAAAGATATATGCTCATCCCGACGTTACACTCATCGAGACCTTTCATTTGAGTACCCACATCGATTTATCATATATTCATACATAGATATTAATATATGAAAAATAAATGAAAATGCATGTGGGTACTCAAATGAAAGCTCTTGATGAGTATAACATCAGGGTGAGCTTACATCTTTAATATCGTCAATGGTTAAGAAAGTACAGTACAATTTAACAAAAGTCATTATTTAATAAAGCAAAATTTCAATTTTTTTTAGTTCATAAGTTACGGCAGTCATATAGTGACTACAAGGTTGCTAGTAATCCTTATTGTTCAAAGGATCTTAGATAGAATAAATAAATAAATAATAACTAACCTCCATCAGAATCGGAATCACTATTTATTTTAACTTGCGATTGAAATAATTTGCTGCCTTTTCGCTGCTGAACTTTCTTCTTTCCTTTAGGTGAAGTAGTTGATGAAGTTCGCCCAACAGGCTCATCATCGTCCTTTTCACTATCTGAAGCATCTTCTTCACTTTTTATTACTGTGGTAATTAAAACAAATAAGTAAGTGAGTGCCCGAGTTAATGAAAAAAAGAAAAAAATAAATATAAATTTTTTCTTCATTTTAAAAGGTCTTACCAGGTCGCTTTGATGTCTTTTGAGGTTTCACAGCAGCAATAACTGCTGAAGGTCGCTTGGAAGCAATGCTTGTGTTTGTTGCCGAGCTCGATGAATGCGGTTCTTTTTTTTTAACAGGAGGTGCTGGGCTCGGAGCGCTGTCAGATGAATCTGAATCTGAGGAACTTCCAGATGAGCCAGAAGACTCGGAATTACCAGACCCACCAGAACTTTTTGAACTTGCTGAACTTTCTGACTTTGGCTGGTGTCTTGCTACTAAATCTTTTAAAATTAAAATAATTATTTAATTTTAGCAATTTAATAATTAAAAAAAAAAAGAATAATGAATTTTTATTAAATAATTGAAACTGAAAAATAATGTTTTCAAAAATTTTCACTAATAATAATATTGTTATAAAATTCTAAAAAAAATTCCAATGCCTGTTAACTTCAGAGTCATAAATAATAGCCTAAATTAGAAGTAATTATGTGAACTTTAAGATAAATTTAATAGATTTCATTTATTCGAAAAATTTCCATAAAACTGACGAAATTCAAAATTTTTTTTAAATTTTCAGACTCCTACAACTCGTTAACCAGCTGATTATCTGAGGAACCTTAAAAATATCAATAGTTAAGGAATGATATCGACGTTCTTATTAACAAATTGTCTAACTCCATTTTAGAAACTCTTCCATTTGTACGAAAAAACAATTAGTTCAAAATTAATTATTACTTTAAAAAAATATTATCTTATAGAGGTATAATATTTTGGTTTGGATCATTTCAATATATATATATATATATATAT